TGAATCAAAACTCCAATGCTATAAGTCTCTCAGTCATAAAGATAAAACTGCAAAATCTTGACGCATATCAAGGATATTCTACACCCAAACCAGTTACAGTGAAGCAGGTAAGAAATAACTTGATTTCCCCCTTCATCTTATTCCTCCCACAAGCAACTTCCCCACATCTAGTGAATACCAGTGTACTGAAATATTCAGCGAGGCAGTGGCATGCTGAGCTGCTGATCACATTGGGGAAGTGCCAGGGAATTATCCCTCAGCTCTCAATCTCTGCATGTCTTGTGCTTGAGGGCAGAGTTCCCTGTCAGAGGTTTCTTTGACAGGCACATTACAATGTAAATCTTTGGGCCTTTGGCATTTTAAGTGGACTTTCTTAATTTTCCAAATCATCAAAGATACTTATATTCAAAGAAGGACTTGGCAATCATCCCATTCTCTGGAGGTAACAAAATTCAGCAAATTGGTTGCATTTCATGGCATTTTTCCCTGTTTACAGTTTTGGAAATGAGATCAGAATCAGGCCTGGACAGTCTTTTCCCTTCTCTACACTTACTCACAGCAGTAATTAACATGAACCAGGCAAACGCTTCCTTGGCATCAGACTCACGTCAAAAGCATCAAGTCTGTGATTTCACTGCCTGCTCATGCACCCTGGGCTGTGGGGGGAAATGGTCTTTATTCAACAATTAATATCAAAAAGAATATGATGAATACAGTAAATTGCTTTTCTGCAAAGGCTCGCTTTTTTCACACTCACCTCTTTCTTTCATAATCTTTACCAAAGAAAGGGTTATATATTTGCATTACTCCTCTGCTCAAGCACATCAGCGCCACCAGAATCATTCAGATGAATCTACAGCCTTCTAAGGTAGCAGCAGCATGTAGCTAGGCAACAAAAAAGAATATAGTATTTTTCAGGAAGGAGGACTTTTCTAGATGATCTCATACAGATGCAGTGCTTTTTTTGCCTTATAAGAAGAAAATGGTTCATTGGAGAAATGAGTCTGTCATCCTGTCACCGTCAAGTCATACAGATATATAGGTTTCCCTTGATTAGCTGTGAAAGAAAATAACAGTGCATTGTATACTGTTCCTATTTATTTCTCTGTATCTGTTACATATCTGTAAGTTTTTTTACTAAAACCCACAAACGATTTTATGGCAGATTTCGTTAACCATCATCCTAATTAAAATGGAGTGCTTCAATAATTACCAAGTCAGCTGAAACAAATTGTATCTCAGTTCAGCTGAAACCGTGTCAGTTTTAAAAAAGAGATTTTATGAGTGGAAAAGACATCCTGTTGTATGTACAGTCCATCACTATGTGTGGGGACAGAGCTGTTGTGAATGGTGAACACTGATTTTATGTGTGTGAAGGGATTGGTTAAGTGCAAGCCAAAAAACTGGTGTGATCTAGCAGGTACACCGATGCCTTGGTGCCCCAGATGATGGTGATGAACCCAGCAAACAGAGGATGACAGAGGTGCCAGGCCAGCTTCTGGGCTTTGGGGGGACTCTTTCCAGCCTCAAGAGGCAGCAGGAGCTCTGAGACACTGGATGAATATATCCGTGTTTGTGCTGGCCAGGTCTCGGGACAACCACTGACCTGTGTGAAATTGTAGCACCATCTGCCAGGGTGCCGTTATCAGCCCCTGAGCCACACTGGGATTCACGATCTCAGCTCATGGTTTCAGCTATCCCATTTCCCATTTCTCCTATATTCCCTTTTCTACATCTCACTAATTTGACAATTTGTCTGTACGTGCAAAAACATATTTAACTTGCAGAGCTTTCAAATTTTGTTTCCCAGTCTGGGTGCAGCATGGCAGCCTGTGTGGCTGGGATGGACTGTGCGTGGCCCTGGCAGGAGAGCTGCGGGCACCAGGGTAAGTATCTGTCCTGGAGCACGGCAGTCCCTCTCAAGTTGTCTGTGTTTGTGAGAGCACATGCTCTGCACATTGCAGTTTCTGTGGCAAGTATTTTTTCCGGTACAGACCTGAATGTACCTAATCGGAGACATTACATCACAGTCTTGGCAGCTTTCATGTATGTATTTCTTCTCTTTGGCCTGTTATCTTATTTGTGTATTCCAGAGCCTGTTCTGTGGGATGGCTTCCATTCTTCCCAGCTGGACCAAGGCACGATTCATACCATGTTGTCTCTTTCATCTTGTCATTCTTCATGGCAAAGCAGGAATTGCCCGGTTAGGCATGCAAGCCAAAAAAAGGCACAATTTATTTGTAGTCAGTGAAAGACTCAAGCAACTTTTAAGAGGATGAAGACCGGATCACAGTAAAATGTCAGAGGAAGGTACACCATCTTCATAACATTCATAGCAAGGTTCCTGCAGTTTTAAGGATTAGTAGAATATGTTGCAAGTCCTAAACTAGTATGATACATTAACTGATGTGTATAAAATTTGCATCTAAGCTATAGTGTTTATTTATTCAGCCATAAAATGCAGAAAACTATTAATTATATGACTTGGTAACTGCATTAGTACATCTCCTGTGGAGTTAAGTGCTTAGACTACAGATGAACTGAAATGTGTACACGCAAATGGCATATGCATTTGAAGTAAGGCAGGTATGATTGAGGTTAAAGCTGATACAATGTTTACTTTTTGTTTGAAAAACTAAATTAACTCTCAACTGTTTTACTAGGAATGACCCAATATTCTCCTTACCAACAAAAATAAATGTGACAAGATATCATCACTTCTATGCTAAAAATATAATCCAGAGTATAACTTCAGTTAAAGCTCTAAGTTTACAGGATCAGACCCAGAATGGTGAGTTTGAAGGAGAGGGGGAAGAAATTGTTTAAATAACAGCTCCTGTTTCAAACTCCTAGTCAATTTTATCATTAGTAAGAATCATTAATAAAGTAGAATTTGGTGGGCTGTTTACATTATTGACTTATGTTTCAAAAAACAATGTCTAAAATTCATTGTTGTGAAAATAAGTCAGTACCAATTTAAAGAGAAACAATTTATGTGACTCGTTCCTAATCATTGTTTTCTGTCTACCTCAAAAGTAACTTTTTTTAAAAAAGTTGGCTGCAGTGTTGAAGCTTTTTTTCTGATTTTCAGTAATAAAACTAGTTTTATTCTATTAAAACTGTTAGGAAAAAACTTGGTATCTATTGGCATTTATTGTTTTTCTCTGCAAGCATTTCAGACTACATGGATGATTTATTTGTCACTTTGCAGGGGAAATAAAAAGTATTGCTGCTTAGATACCTTCATAATCCTTAGACAGAGCACGTGCCAGTTCTTCCATTAGCAAAAGTGTAGAGAAATCGAGCTGCCAGGCATCCTGGGGGTTAAGCAAGCTCGTGACAATCTACTGAGGTTATTTTGGTCAAAGCCATGTGTGACACATCTGATGGGAACCCAGATAAAACTAATTTGGGTAGATTAGGGGAAAAAAAGTGCTATGATAAACCATTATCTCAAAGTTACATCAAAATAATGGGGAGGATCACCTCCAGCAGAGTTTGGCAGTGATGACTGGCCAGTTGCTTGGGTCTTCCTGCTTAGCTCAGCGTGGACACAGCTTCTGCCCACGCTCTTTGGCCACTGCACTTACGATCTGGCAAGGTGTGCATCTCCCTTTGTCAACTTAAAGCATTAGTATTACATAGATACTTGTCTTCCTGATCCTCCTGTCTCCTCCTGCTGTTTGTGACTTATCTGCAGTGGGACAGCAAAGGCTTTGTTGTTACCTGCAGCAGCGCAAGGACAGTAATAAGATGGGCTGTGTAACAGCCCAGCAAGAGAGGGCAGAGGGGGGCCACACTGTGGCCATGCCTTAGCTACAGGCCCCACATGGGAACCTCCCCTTCAGGCAGCCAGCTTGTAGGGAACAAGGAAACCAGAGGGGTGGGAGATGTCTAGCATACAGTAATGGTAGCTCACTTATTTCCCCTGCAATTTGGAGGACAAGCCTCCAGCACTATAGAAGCTACCTGTTCTCAATATTGCCAGACTGAGGCTGGAGGCATCCCCCAGCTAGTGGCAGCACAGTGAGGTGGTGTACGCCCCGGCCATTTCCTTCTTTCTCTTCCTGTGCCTTCCCAAAGCTCCCAGGCAGCAGCTGCTTCCCATTCCCATCTTATATTTGTTCCACAGACTTGCTGCAAATTAACTTCTGCCCTGTTCTCTCCCTCCAGTCCTGCGCTGGGAGCTGAGCTAATGGCAGGAACCAGAGACTGTTTTAACTTCTGTACTGAAGAGGACAGCCTTGGCATCTGAAGCTTGTGTGTGCTGCAACAAGATGCTGAAAAGCAACAAAACTGATGAGACAACTGGCAAGTTACTCAGCAACCATGATGAGTGTGTGGAATGAGCTGGGAGAGCAGGGTTTCCAACCAACCAGGATGTTTTTATCACTGCAGACAGGGCTGCTCCTTTGATTCACAAAGGGAAGTTAAGGAATGGAGATAACCTGCCGCAGGATGCAAAAGCTCTTTACAGGTAGGACATGAAAGAAGAAATGTATGAATTGATAATAAGAAATACATAAGAAGGTTACAAAATATGATAGCATGTCTTCTGCAACTACTGAAGTGTGTTGAACAAAATGAGGGCTGTTATGTGTACATTTTGTAAAAATACTGTGTATTTTCACCATTTTGTGGAATTAAAAAAGTTTTATGTGCTTTCTATTAAATGTTGCTGGCAAATGGTTGTGAGACATACCAGCAGATGTAAACACACAGGTAATAGCCTCAACTTCCCCTGATTTTATTCTCTTTGCTGATACTTACCTTTCCATAGTAACATTTGAAAGATTTTGCTATAAACTTTTCTTTGTTTAGGGAAAAAAATTGACTCTGCCACTTGTTCAGTCTGTATTTATGCCAAACAGTGCATTTCGTAAAGGAAGGGAAAGTGGTATAGTTGTCTGCATGACAGGCTAAAGGGAAATGTTTTTAACAGCTATAAAAAACCCCCATTGTAAAACATGTCGCTTATAAATCAAAGCTCCAGAGGGAGACCTTTGTCAAAGCACTTTATTGACGTAAACACATCAATCTTAAGCATGGCCAGAAGACTGAAATAACTTTTTTTAACTAACAGTTCCCAGTGTGTGGTACACATCACTCCACCCAAGGAGCACAAGAAATACTGCCATTGAAGTGTGAAGTTCTTCCATGGACAGTTCAGTTGCATCTTTGGATACAAAACTGCTGAGCTGCTTCCCTGCCACTCATGAAATTGGGGGATGAACAGTCTTCAAAAGTTTCAGATTGCTGGTACTAGGCAGCAATGACAGTGTGGGACCAGCTGGGAAGAAGTCTGCTTCCTCCCAGGGAGCAGGACTGTGTGGGCTGGCCCAAGTACTTGCAGCGTGGTGGAGCCCAAGATGTACCAACTGTGTTGGTCTGCGGGCTCAAACACACAGCAGGTTACTCTAGTGCACAACACAGCCAGTTGCCTTAGGGAGCTCCTGTTGCAGTGTTTGCAGATTGAGAGTAGTGAATGCCATTCAGCCACCCCTGGAAGGCTCTGCCCAGAGCCTAGGAATGTGAAACAGATGTCTGCTTCTGGCATTTTTCCTGGACTTGAATGAGGCTGGCTGTATTCAACACAGCTGCTCTAAAGGGTCATAGCTTCTGACGGAATGTATCCTATTACAAAGCATTTCAGAGGCTAAATTTAGGGGTAGCTTTTTGGAAAAACAGAAGTCTGAAAAGAAATATTTGTAACAAATTAATGTTTTCTTCTCCCACTGTATTGCCATACAGCAGGAGCCAGGTAACGACCATTAAAACCAGGGAACGGAAGATTTTTGCTAGAACTGGTGGTACGTTATCATTCAGCAAGTATCCAAGCTGAGGGAGCCTGTACAGGAGGACCTGTGATCTTCAGCAAAGCAACTGTGGTCTGTCCTTACTTTTGTTTCTATCATCTCATAAATATAACATCCGCATCACATAAAGAAACATGCCAGATCTAAAGTAATAGAATTCTCCATTCCTAAGTAGCGTTAAGTCAGACCTTTTCTTTGATATCCCACAATAAAGTCCCTTTACTGAAAAGTCATCCCCCACTATATACTGTAAATTTAAACAATCTAACCACATACTGTTGCTTCTCTGAAAAGGTAAATGATGCAAAGTGCACCCCCAGGGTTACTGTGTACAATGTACTTCATGAGGCAAGTGCCAACATCCCAATAAATTATTTAACACTATTCTTATGTAGTGGTGAAAGCCAAGCAGAGAGATTCAACAAAGCATCATCTACTGATTCCTTCTCTATTTGGAGTGCAGGTTGAAGCAATCTGTTGGCAGCTTAGTCATCCTTCTGTTTTCCCCCAGGCACATATTTGCATTCCTTTCTTCCCCAAAATCTGGGAAGGCAAAATTCATTTTCTATTTAAAAAAAAACAAACAGAAAACAAAATCTAAACAACCAAGCGTGTTGCCTATGAGCTGCCTGCATGCATTGCCATGGTTGAAGTTTCATTTGTGGTGCAAACATTGGCAATGTCAGAACTAATCAGTTCAGTGATTCAGCAAGAGAGGCAGAGAGGAAAGATAGCATTAACAGCTGGGTTATTCTGCTCCTTTCCCAATATTAATACTACATAAATATTGTCTTTATTTACAGTTTCATTTATACATCCAAGCATGCACTGATCACTCAAAGAATGCTAAGCCAAATAAGCAGATTAAGGCTGCTGCAGAGTTGGCTTTCTGTAGAAGCCCTGTGCAAGCTGGGTGCCTCATTTCTGAAACGGGAAGATTTGGATTTGTTTCTGTTCTATTTTGCTCTGTGACTTTAGGCATCACATTTGGATCACCACTGCCTCAGTTTCCTCAGCTGCTCAAGACAGACTAGACTGGACTACTAGGCTGTGGTTTACATAGTGTTGATAAGCTTCACCATTTTTAAAATAGCATCTGAGACCCTCCAAGAAAAAAATACTACTGAAATATAAAGCATTACCATCAAACAGGTGAGCACAATCTACTTTTAAAAAAGTGTATTAGTTACTCTCTAGATAACTGATGATGATGACGGTAACATTGCATGTGGGCAGACACCAAAATACCCGATAGGATTTCTTTAGCAGGTTGTTATTTTTCCATGTGGTCCATGATTAGAAACATCTTTTACAAAAGTTCAAATTAATTCTGGAATTGTATCTCAATGAATTTTTCTATTGTCAATTTCTGCCAAAGACAATAGTTTAGTAAATGCCACATTTCCTGGACCAGAAGCATAGGCTAGGTATTATTATTAAATCTCAATACATTTAAAGCAAAACTTGTAATTTAGCTGTCAAACTTTGCCAGGACAGTCTTTCAGCAGAGGGTAGCTGGACTGTTTGTACTGAAAACTATGAATGACTCTCTCCTATATTGCGGCAGGTGCATGAAAAAAAACCCTACCTCAAAGATACTGTATTTCCTACCACAAGTAATGAGTAATTAAAAATAAATCACGTTTTATACAGGTCTAAAGAGCCGTCCATACTTGGCTAATCCAAGTTAATATAATAAAAACCAGGCAGATGATTTAGAAGTGTTTACACTTATTGCTAAAATGTGTTACAACTTTGCACACATGAACTTATACAATTTTTGATGTCTGAAGCTAAAATTGTATTAGCAGTCCAAAACAGTCATATGAATGTAAAGATTTTAACTACCAATTAGCTTGGTGTACTCGTAAAGTCCAGTGTACAAAATCCACTTCTAAAATGCAGTTTATAACTAATATTGGATAGTGAGAAACCAGTTAAAAACAGGTTGAAACAAATCTTTTCAAAGAAAAATCCTACCTATGCAATGACTAATAAAATTTAAAAGTCAGTTTTCATTATATTTTTGTAGCTGCCTGTAAGCTAATTTCCCACATACTATTTTTTGTAGGAGTAATGAAACATTTCTTTAAGAAAATCCAAGTGATTTTATTTTGCTCATATGTATAGTGTAACACTAGCGTCACCACTTATATACAAAATTAGTTTAACATAGCAGAATACCAACGATTTCCTCATTGGGCAATTATGATCGAGCAGACAAACACTGATTCACCACTTCCAGTAAGTGAGAGTTTTCCAAAGCAGCTGCTACACGTTCTTTATCAGCAAGCTGTTTATTAACTGTGCAGAAAAAAACACCACAAGAAACCGGTCAAAACATTGGTATACAATGGCTTTTTTAAAGGCATTTTACATTGAGACACATAATCACACTGTTGCTATGGTACTCAGGTAGACTAGTAATCCTGCAGATGCTAAGCAGAGTTGCAGTCTAAAGTCAAAGCTACCATGTTATCACAAGTAAAACCAGCAAGCTGTTTATGATTCAGCAGCAGGGAGCTACACATGTGTAGGTCTAACACAAGAAGAAATTTCCCCCCAGCCTCTCCCATTTTCTGAGTCCTCCATAACCCAGGCAAATCAGTGACTATTCGAGATCACAGGTTGCTTGAGGAGATGTTTAAAGTACGGTACGGGACATATCTAAGTGTCATTATTACACATTCCTGTTCTGTAACATCCCCCAGAAGCTGATGCATGTAAAGTCCCAGATACTAAACAGCTGCTCTGCAGGTGTGGCAGTGTATCTCCTCTCTAATTTTCAAAATTAAAAAAAAAAAAAAAGACGACCACACGAGAGCACTAAAAACCTTACCTGCATGCTCAGAGGCATGTGTTCCTGGTGTTATATGAACATCCAGCTTAAAAAGCATCACAAAAGAAAAAGGGGACAAGTCAACAAAACATTGGAAGCTCAAGTTCAAACTATTTAATAATAAAAATAAGACAATAACAAAAAGAGGGGGAAAAAGGACATTCTTGCCAATACCAGTTACCGTATCTAGCAGAATAAAATAAAGTCTAAAATCACAGAATATTCTACATTCCCATCTGCTTAAGCCTCCTTCAGACAGGGGGATGAGGCACCATCCTCTCCTCCTCCTGTGCCGTAGAGCACTGCAGATAACTTCCCTCCATAACCCCACTCACCCTTGACATGACTGTCGCAGAACCATAATTCTGCATCAATATTTTAGTCCACGACCCCCTCTGGTTCCTGGAGTGTTTCCCTCACCCATAATATGAAAAAAGCTCTAGTTATTTTTTACTGTAAGTTAGTTAGCTTTTTTTTTTGCCCTTTTTTTTTTTCTTTTCAAACACAATCCCCCTCTTTTGCTTTCCAGAGCAATGTGATTACTCACCTTAAATCTCTCAGGCAGAGATCTGATCAATTTTACTTTTATGGAGAGGCCGATTAACGTCGCCATACTGCAGTGAGGAATGGTGGGCGTAAACTCCACTGCCACCGTGCTTTCTGCGTCATTCACCTGTTGAAAACAGAACGCTTTCATGTACAAAACTCACTGGCTTTACCCCAAGCTAGCTGGAGGCATTTTACGTGAAATGCAACCTGAAGCTGTATGCGCTTATTGTTTTCTTCACTGCCATGTTAAAATACTATGTGTAGCTGCAGCAGACTGCTATAATAAACCTCTTTTAATGTTAGAAAAAAATAATTAAGTTAATCAGACGGCAGAGGCAGCACGGCCCTGCAGCACAGCAGGCTTTTACTGATCGGCAGTGCCCCGGGGCGCCCCCGGCCCGGCCCCGCCGCGCCAGCGGGACGATAAGCGCATCTTAGCGGGGATCTCACTTTCACTCGCACTTGCTCGACGACATTCAGCTCCTCCAGGGTGAGGGGGTGCTCGGGGTCGTTAATGGAGCGAATGAGATGTGGCGGGGGGAGGGAAGAGGAGGGGAGTAGAG